AAATGGTGGAAGGAGTGACATTGATCAAGATGCACAGTGCTCCTAACTTGACTTGTGGAACTGAAACCCATTTGCATAAACTCTTAACAAAAAGGAATAATAAATTAGAAAAAAGCTACATCATTGCACTTAGCAAAATTTTGAGTATTGAACACAGATTTTTGTTGAAGCAAATGAGGAGATCTTAGCATCTAGGCTCTAAAGCTTACAGATGCTTTCTATTCTACTAAGTACACAGCTATACCTATGTGCAGGGCTATGCATAGAGGATGTAGTTGACAAATGATGTCTGTACCTCCCCAGTAAAACTCCACAAGTCCTAATGTAGGTGCTCTTGCACTTCCCTCCTCCCTGTCAGGTACCATGTCACCTATCTGTCTTGTCCTCCTCACTTAAACATCAAGGCAGGATGTCAATGCTAGCAGCTCATTAAAGGCTCTCCCTTCCTACTTAAATAATAAATTAGTTCTGGGTACAGACTCACAAATTAGGTATCAGAACCCTGGGGAACAGTATTTTTATGCAGATTTTGCTATATAAAGTATTGTTTGTAGAACACTGCTCTTTTCTAGGCATTAATTACTAGCAAAATTAATTACTAGTAAAAATCAGAATGGCTTTCAAAGTAACCTAAGAAATTAGTTTACTTAGTTTAAAATCTCTTAGTTTAAAAATCAGAAAATTCATTATGAAAAATATATATTGAGGTACAATCAATTCTAAGGGTTCACAGGCTCCCTCCACAACCCAGATTTATCCAAGCTTCAACTGGCAAATAATTTGGAAAAAAATTGTCCACGAAATTGAAGTAAGTTTTTTTCTTTGTTTTTGTTCTTTTCTTTTTGTCTTCTTGTTCATTTATCTATCTTTTTTTGTTGTTGTTGGTGGTGATGGGGCTTGAACTCTGGGCACTGTCCCTCAGCTCTTCAGCTACAGGCTAGCACCCTACCACTGCCACAGCACCACTTCTGGTTTTCTGAGTTGTTTATTGGCGATAAGAGTCTGAAGGCCTTTCCTGCCCTGGTTGGCTTTGAACCAAGATCCTCAGATTTCAGCCTCCTCAGTAGCTAGGATTATAGGCATGAATCACCAGTGCCCAGATTCCTTTCTCTATCTTTGAAAAGAAAAAGAGGGCACAGAAATGGAAGGGAAAAGGGTGAACAAATGTAGCAATGGTACTCTCTAGGCACTGTGTTGAAAATAAACTATGCAACTTGTGAGTGGAGATGGGAGAGAAAAACTGGAAGAAAGCAAGGGGTGACATTGTCCAAAAAGAAATACATGCTTTACTTGACTTATATACTTGTAACCCTTTTTTATATCACCTTTATAGTTAAAAATAAAACATACTATATCTGTTGAAATATACAGGCATTTTTGGTTGTCATTGGTTAACAATACAACATAATTTTTTATGTTTTTATTCTTTCAATTTTTTAACTTTTAATAAAGTTTTTATTCGCTTGCAAAGATGCTGTACAGAAAGTGGGCGAAAGACTTAAAGAGAAACTTCTCTGAAGAAGAAAGAAGGATGGCCAATAGACACATGAAGAAATGTTCAACACCCCTAGCCATAAAAGAAATGCAAATCAAAACAACATTGAGATAGTTAGAACGGCAAAAATCAAGAACTCTAACAACAACAGATGCTGGAGGGGATGTGGACAGAAAGGAACCTTACTGCATTGTTGGTGGGAATGTAAACTTGTTCAACCACTTTGGAAAGCAGTATGGAGGTTCCTCAAAAGACTTCACATAGAACTCCCCTATGACCTAGCAATCCCACTTTTGGGCATTTACCCAAATGTTTACAAACAAGACCACACTAAAGCTACCAGCACAACTATGTTTATTGCAGCATTATTTACCATAGCTAAGATATGGAACCAACCCAGATGCCCCTCAGTAGATGAATGGATCAAGAAAATGTGGTATATATACACAATGGAATTCTATGCCTCCATCAGAAAGAATGACATTGCCCCATTTGTTAGGAAATGGAAAAACTTGGAAAAAATTATATTAAGTGAAGTAAGCCAGGCCCAAAGAAACATAGGTCCCATGGTTTTCCTTATTTGCAATATGTAGTATATGTATGAGTCAAGCAGAAAAGGTCAGATAATGTGATGTCAGGAAAATGAACCCTTAGATATGTATTTTAATGTTTTTTTCTTTCATGCATGTGTTTCTAACGCATTTATAAGATTATCTCTTTGTTGCTTTGTATGTCCCTCCCCCACAGTATAACCCCTGCTTTCACTATACTTGATGTCAGTATAACTTGTGGAGGAGATGGGGAAAAACCAGTTGTTTAAGGATACGGGTGGACCTGTTGCAACAATGAGAAGTACAAGTTGTCATGTCCAAAAAGAGCTTTACAACGTCGGTGCGGGGGGGGGGGGGAAGGGTGGGAAGGAGGAGGATTGGGATTGGGGGTGAGGGGGGAGGCTGGGAAGGGATGTGAAGGGTAAACAAAGGAGGAGGCTGCAATGCTTGGTAAGAAATGTACGCATTATCCTGCCCATGTAATTGTAACCCCTCTGTACAGTATGTTCACAAATAAAATAAAATAAAATTAAAAAATGCTGTACAGAGGGGTTACAGTTGCATCAGTAAGGTAATGAGTACATTTATTGTTGAACATTGTTTTTCCCTCCTTTTTTCTCTCCTACCATCCCTTCCCTCCCCACTTCCTCAATCCTCCCACCCCACCTCACCAAAGTTGTAAAGTTCATTTCCAACATAGTATCTTGTATCATCTGTTCTTATTAGATTTCTTGATTATATCTATTTTAACTGGGGTGAGGTGGAATCTCAATGTTGTTTTGATTTGCATTCCTTTTATGGCTAGAGAAGGTGAGCATTTCTTCATGTGTCTCTTGGCCATCCTTATTTCCTCCTCAGAGGAATTTCTCTTTAAGTCTTTAGCCCACTTATTAATGGGACAGTTGTTTCTTTGATGATTTGTTGTTGGAGGAGTTAATGTTTTGAGTTCTAAGTATATTTTAGATATGAAGCCCTTGTCTGTTGTATGGCTAGTGAAGATCTTCTACCAATCTGTGGGCTTTCTATTGATCTTGTTAGCTATGTCCTTTGCCATGCAGAAGCTCTGCAATTTCATGCAATCACATTTGTCCAACCTTCCTTTGTGTTTCTGGGTCATTATTAAGGAAATTTCGGCTTGTGCCAAGGAGACTTAGGGTTTCTCCTATTCCTTCCTGTAATGTTTTCAAGGTGTTTGCTTTGGCTCGAGGTCTTTGATCCATTTGGAGTTGATTCTGATGCAGGATGATGTATAGGGATCTAGCTTTAGTTTTCTACAAGTGATTAACCAATTTTGTCAGTACCATTTACTGAAGAGGCTGTCTTTCTTCCATTCTATTTTTTTAGCTCCCTTATTGAAGATTAGATGGCTATAGGTCTGTGGGTTCATTTCTGGGTTTTCAGTTCTATTTCATTGGTCCTGAGGTCTGTTCTTGTGCCAGTACCAAGCTGTTTTGATTACTATGGCTTTGTAGTAGAGTTTGAAATTTGGTATTGATATTCCTCTAGCACTGTTCTTTCTGCTAAGGATTGTTTTTGCTATTCGGGTTCTTTTATTGTTCCATATGAATTTTTGGGTTTCCTTTTCTATTTTGTAGAAGAATGAGGTTAGGGTATTGATAGGTATCACACTGAATTTAGCCTTTGTAAGTATTAGCAATTTTCATGACGTTAATCCTCCCAATCCAGTAGCATGGGAAGTTTTTCCACTTCCTAAGTTCTACTTTAATTTCCTTTTTCAGGTTTTTGAAGTTTTCATCATAGAGATCTTTCACTTCTTTAGTTAACTCCTAGATATTTTACTTTTTGTGGGGCTATTACGAATGGAGTTGCTTTCTTGATTTCATCTGCACTCTTCCAATTGTTGGCATACAGAAAAGCCATTGATTTTTGAGGGTTAATTTTATACCCTGCTACTTTGCCAAAGTTTCGAATAAGCTTTAGTAATTTGGGAGTCATCTGCAAAGAGGGAGAGTTTTACTTCATTTTTCCGTATTGGAATCCCCTTTATACTTGCATCTTGTCTTATTGCTGTAGCTAGGCATTCTAATACTAAATTGAAGAGCAGTGGAGAGAGTGGACATCCTTGTGTTGTTTCTGAGTTAGAGGAAATGGCTTTAGCTTTTTGCCATTAAGTATAATGCATTAAGTATAATGCAATTACCTGTGGATTCTGAAGGATGACTAGACATAACTTACTTCCTATTAAGCTATAAGAATGAAGGGCATCAACAATGTATCATTGTGAAGTGAGGAGACTGTGTCTCCATCATGTTATTGTGTTCTCACAGTCATCCTGGTGCCTTTTTGGGTGGAGGGTGGTGGCTCTCAGCCACCAGCTCTTCAATAAAAACTCCCATATCTTCAACTTCTCCAAATGTGGCTTCTCTGTTTTCTTATGACTGAAATAATACCTTGCAACACTTCAGACATAGATGTGTTCACTTGGTGTTCAGTTTTCTGCCTGCTGAATATTTACTTAGAGGGACACTGAAGGGACACCAAAAAGTCAGGAGGAGGGTTATAACCTTCATATCAGAGAAATTAATGTAGTCTTCATCTATTTTCCCTTTCATGTTATATATTTATAATTATGAGATGTTATATATTCTATAATTTGAAGCTATGATCTTTCTAAATTTATGTTCATATTCTTAATAATCTAGTTAAACAAGTTGAGCTTTTCAAAATTACTTAGATAGAAAGGGCTAGCATGTTTTCTTTGCTGAAGGGATCATTCATTCAATTAAGATTTCATAGTCTGACTCTTTTTGCAGCACTTTATATATTTGGTTGTATTTCTGAATCAGTCCATAGTAGCTTGAATAAGCATGGTGAAAACTCTCAATGAGTTTTGTCACCATAAAGCTGTTGGTAACTCATCCTTTTAAAGAGTGAAATGAAGGAAGAGCTATATTTTAAATATACTATTTTCTCATTTCTATTTCCACAAATAGGAGCTGGTGGCTGGACACCCCTTGTATCAGATCAACACCAGTGGCTGCAGATTGATCTTGGAGAGAGAATGAAAGTTACAGCTGTGGCCACCCAGGGAGGATATGGGAGCTCCAACTGGGTGACCAGCTACCTCCTGATGTCCAGTGACAGCGGGAGGAACTGGAAGCAATATCGACAAGAAGAAAGCATCTGGGTATGTTCCTCTGTTGAGAAACATTGTCTGTCAGATTGCCAAGTATTTCAGTGACTGTGTCCTGCAGCTTCTCAGACTAACTGTTGAAACAGAGCCCAGAAGCATGTAAAATATAAGTGGAATTTTAAAACACTCTGCTCATGCCTATTTATGAGATAAGTCTAAGTACAACAATTTGCTAATGTACTGAATACTGAGTGTCTTCTCATTAGTCCTTTCCATAGTGTTATGTCTAAGTGATGAATTAGTCACAGACAGCCTACTGTATTTGGGGTCTGATAAATAGCAGTTTGGATTGCTTTGGCATTGCTTAAACAAGCAAACTCATGCTTCTGTGTTCTCTGATAAATCAGTGAGCTTTACAAGAGCTCAGGAACACAAGTCCTGCCCTAACACCAACACTGACCTTTTCATTCCTGGAGCCCTTTTCATTCCTGTACTGTGTATAGCTCACTTTGGGATTCCTAGGCATTGTAGCCATTTTAAATTATCAGTGACATATTTTCTACCTGTATGTGTTTAAACTTCTTTGAAAAGATTTAAATGTTCATTGGCTTAGCTTTCTGAATATTCAAATATATGTACTACTTTACAGATTCAGTATTTAATGCCTGTAAGTCATGTGCTCTGAAGGAGAGGCTGTAAGAAACGATGTTGGAGCTATTTGGATAATATTTGTAACAGGCTGGTGGAGCTTGTGGTGGGAGGTGAGGCCTGAGTCAGATTTGTCATCAAAAGAAGAAATTTACTTGTGTGTGTGTGTGTGTGTGTGTGTGTGTGTGTGTGTGTGTGTGTGTGTGTGTATGTGTACACATGTGCATGCTGACTACTGGGGTTTGAACACAAGGCCTTATGCTCTCATTTGGCTGTTTTGCTCAAGGCTGGCACTCTATCACTTTAGCTACTTTGGGTTTTGTGCTGATTAACTGCAGATAAGTGTCTCATGAATTTTTCTTCCTGGTTTTACTTTGAACCACAGCCTTATTGATCTCAGCTTTCTGAGTAGCTAGGATTATAGGCATGAGCCACCAGTGCGTAGTCGTTTACGTGGTTGCTAGAGGGTGGAGACAGGTGTTAGAGCAAAATGGATGTACAGATGATAGAAGTTTTGGAAATGGATGGTAGTTATGACTTCACAGGATTGTGAGTATCTTAATGGTGTTTAATTATAGACTTAAAATGGTTAATGCCAGGTGCCTGTGGCTCATGCTTGTAATCCTAGCTACTCAGGAGGCTGAAATCTAAGTCAGCCCAGGCAGGAAAGTCTGTGAGGCTGTTTTTCTCCAATTGCAAAAAAAACAAAAAACAAAAGTGGAGCTGGGCTCAAGTGGTAGAGTACTAGTCTTGAGCACAAAAGATCAGGGACAGAACCCAGTCCCTGAGTTCAACTCCCAGGACTGGCACAACAAGTAAAATAAAACGTTTACAACGGTATGCTTTACATTATGTATATACCACAAAATGGTACAAATGGTACAATTTGCCTTTGTTTAGCTTAGTTGTTGGCTGTTTCTTTTTCCCTGTCTTGGCAAGGTAGCTTAACCAGAAGGTTAAAAGGTGACAGAATGGCAATATATATGGAATAATCAATTGCTACCATTTCAGCCTCATCACTAGCTTATGCTAATGTCTGAATGTTTTATTAGTGTGCCAAGAAATGGTTAGTTGAATCAAGAATGTATTCTCTAGCAGTAGATGAAAGAAGAAAATGGAAGAGAATTTATCTGAAAGAATTTTTAGAGCTGTCCCCAAAGAAGCAGATGCCACATATGATCAGAAATAGGTGTTAATGTTTAGCTAACTCAAAGAAAACCAAGCCCATATCAGGATTAGGTAAACATTAATCAAGAGATAATATATTTGAGGTGATAGCTTAGAGATGAAGCACTTAGGTAGCCTGAAAACATGAGAACACAGACAGTCACCCATAATTACTCCTGTAACTTTAGCCACTCAGGAGGCTGATCTGAGAATCACAGTTTGAAGCCAGCCCAGGCAGGAAACGCTATGAGATTCGTATCTTCAATTAACTACCAAAAATCTAGAAGTAGAGCTGTGGTTCAAGTGGTAAAAAGCTCAGGGACAGCACCCAGGCCCTGAGTTCAAGCTGGCAAATAAATAAAAAAATGAAAGCACAAATCTACTACCACAAGTTGTCATGTCAAAAACGAGCTTTACAACTTTGGTGCGGGGGGGGGGG